CCCCCCCCACGCTCTGTGACCAGGATTGCTGCGCTGTGCTGACGATCGGTCCATTTAAATAATAAAAATTTTAAATCTGGGTAATTAGCCAGGTTTTTAATTCTGCCGCTCCGCTCTGCTGACGTTGGGCTGAACTGTGGAAAGGACACAGGTTTTCATGCGACAAGGTGACAGCAGCCATGGGTTGCGACCTCGGGATGCCGTCCAGTCCGGCTAGGGGGAGGGGCGGGCGGCTAAAAGGCCTGGCCGGTATCTCAGACCTCTCGAAAACTGGAAAGCGGAACCTGAGCCCCCCCACCCTCCCCACCAGGCTTCCCAGCCAGATCAGATTAGCCGTTTCCTTCCACTTCCAAGGAGATCCGGCGCTCATAAGTTGCGCTAAATAATTTATCCGCTCTTTCGTTCAGAGAGCGAGCAGCTTGCAGTTTTACACTTCACCGCATTCATACAACAGGATGTTTAACAGACGTGGGGACCTGGGAGCCTGAGCATGGATCTCCACACCCGCCACGGGCTCCAGTTTTTCAGTGCCTCGCTGATCCCCTGCCCACGGCGATGCTGCGGAGCCCCCTGCCTGGGACATGGACAGATCACTGTCCGCGCTGGGGGAAAGTCCTGCCGACGTGGGGGTGGGAGGGGGGAGGCTCCATCCCAAATTTGTCCGGATGCTCTGAGGCATGAATAGATACTTATGTGCTGGCCCCTTTGTTCGTCTTCCGGCCCGCTCCGTGATGTCGGGTGCTGCTGGAGTCGTTAACAAACGTTCCCTCATCAGTTGTGATTAACCCTCCCCTTTGCAGGCCAGCGAGCAGGACATTCTCAAGTATGTCGTGAAGTGGGGGGAGCACCAGCTGATTAAGAGGATGGCTGACCGAGGTAAGAGTCAGTCCGCGTGGCCCCGCCCCCCCAGTCCCAGAATCTCAATGATTTATTCTCCAGGTCTGCGAAGGAGCCTAGGGAATATTTGGGAAGCAGAGTGATTAATTCTGAGGGCCGACACGTGAGCTGGCGGCTGCTCCGCCGTACCAGTTGCCGGCTTTGCCCTGAACTCCACCCCTGTCAGGTCCGCGTGTTCCCCTTGCCTCCTTAAGTTCGCACGCTGCTCCGCTCCATCACCCCTGCCTGCGGTCGTCTGCTGGTTCGGCTGGCATCCAGCGCTCCTGTTTTCATTCTCTCTGCTGCAAAATCCTCCTGCCATAATTAGAAACAGACCGATATGTCTAATAGTGTTACTGGCTGCTCGCTGTATTAATAATGCTTGGTGGTCCAGATTGAGCAGGGGTTTGGGTTCTTGCGAGCCCAAGGTATGGATAAGGAGTGGAGATGAATCTTGTGCTGACGCTGGGCATGAGCTGTCTGTCAGCGCTGAGGTGTAATGATGAGATTTGTCGGCACGGGGATTAGCAAGAAACCCACTGAGTCATCGCTGAGCAATGGATGTTTGATCAGGGATGAGCACTTCTGATTGGCGGTTATAGTATCGAGGGAGCTGGGGAGGTCTGATGGTGTCAGAGCTCAGGAGCGAGTCTTTTGGTGCTGAGTGACGGTGTTTGGTACCACAGAGCCCAACCTGCTCAGCGGAACAGCCCACAGCGTGAACAAGAGGGGGGTGAAGAGGCGGGACCTGGATGTGGAGGAGCTGAAAGAGATCCTGTCCCCGCTGCTGCCCTACGTCCGCATCGAGCACATCCTGCCGCCCAACAGCGAGGTCCTCTCCGATGCCGTAAGTGTGCGTGAGGCTGTTTGGGGCCACGTGCTCCGGGTGGGCGACTCCCCTGAGCGGCCAGGAATGGTACGGTCCAGCTCAGTGGCTGGAACCAGATGTCAGTACGTAAGAACTTCTGGTGGCGAAAAGGCCGCCTTGCCACCCACCCTGGCGCTCACCCAGACCCATTCATCAGCGGCAGCGAGTATGTGAAAGTGAGGTTTAATTGCATGACCTGCTGCCGGCCCCTTTGTGCCGCATTCACTGGGCTCAGAGGACTGTGAGCTATTGTCAGGTTGGCATTTGAAGATTATCAAGTGAGCCGTCTAACGGAAGGAAAGAAACGCCGTCTAGCTTTGAGCTGTAGTCCCCTCCCCCGAGCGGGAGGTCATGTGACACTCCACCTGCCCTGTCTGTATGGGTTTGGGTTTATGTACCATCTCTGCTTGCCCACAGATGAAGAGGGGCCTGATCAGCACACCCCCTTCAGACATGCTGCCCACCGCCGAGGGGGGGAAGGCCAACGCCTGGCTGAGGCAGAAAAGTGCTGGCATCTACGTGCGACCCCGCCTCTTCTCACCATACGTGGAGGAGGCCAAGGTATGGGAGCCAATCAGGTGTCTTTCCCCTGTCCATCCTGCTAATAGATGGATGGGTTTGGTACAATGGGGGCGGGTCTGACTTGTTGATGGACGGGGATGTGTATGGGCCCTAATTGGCTGAGATCACTGGGCCTGTGTGGAGGCCAGGAGCCTCTTGTGACCAAACTCTAAGGGCAGTCTGTCTGTACTGTACCCGGCAGGCTGTGCTGGACGAGATGATGGTGGAGCAGACCGACCTGGTCCGCCTGCGCATGGTGCGCATTTCCAATGTGCCCGACACACTCTACATGGTCAACAACGCCGTCCCCCAGTGCTGTCATGTGATCAGTCACCAGCAAATCACCGGCGGGCAGGCAGCCCCCCCATCTGTTGTGGCGAATGAGGTGCCAGGTATGGGGGAATGGGGGGGGCTCTGGTTTGTGTGCCACTGTTCTGGAAGAGAGAGACCCCGAAGCCAGCATTCCTGTAATCACGCTCATGGAGTTGTTGTGTAATACCTGTTCCAAAATAAATTTGTATTCCAGCTCTGGCAGAGTGTGGGTGAACACGTGTTCCCCCTGAGGGCCTGGGGGTGAGGTGGGGGGGCACTGTTCTGTTTGTTTTTTTGTGCGTGTGTGTGTGTTATCTGTACATGGCTTTTGCAGCTATATTCCCCCCTCTGATTCCTCTGATTTATGACATGAGATGTGTGTGTGTAGAAGGGGAAGCCCCCAAAGGTCATTTGCATCGCTGATGTCGATTGGCTGCCCTGGCGCAGTGGGTGGAGCTCTCCCCCAAAGCTCCCGTGGCCAGTAGCTGGCAGAGTTGGGGTCTGAGAAGGCCTCTCCTCTTCGCCCGATTCGCAGTGCCCAAGCTGTCGGTGGTGAAGGAGATGATCCAGCGACTGCAGGAGCTCCGGCACACGGACCAGGTGCAGCGGGCTTACGCGCTTAACTGCGGCGAGGGAGCCACCGTCAGCTACGAGATCCAGATCCGCGTGCTTCGTGAGTTCGGCCTGCCTGACGGAGCAGCCGAGTTGCTGCAGGTGAGTGATGGTGGAGCGGGTTGGGGGTGTGGAGGTGCTTGTTCTGTCTGGGGCTTGTGAAGCTACTTTATTTTTCATCGTTTATTATTATTCTGCTACATCCAGAACGGCATCATTGATGTCCTGTCATTTATCTTTTATCTTTTTTTTTTTTTTTTTTTTTTTTTTTTTTTTTTTTTTTTTTTTTTAAACTTACTTTAGAACCCGCACAAGTTCTTCCCCGACGAGCGCTTTGGAGACGAGAGCCCGGTGCTTGCACTTCGCCAGGCGAGTCGATGTCGGGTCAACAGCACGCCAGTGGTGGATGGCGGCTTCGCAGATCTGGAACCCATGGCGGGCTTCCGCCCTCCGCTGCCCCCGCCCCCTCCACCCTACCATCCCCCCACCACACCTGGCCACAACCAGCTGAAGGCCAGCTGGAGACCTCGTGTGCCCAGCCAGCCCCCATCCCGCTCCTTCTCGTATCCATGCAACCACACAGTGTTGCCTCGACACCCCACCTCTAAGCATGGGAGCCCCGCCTACCCAGCAGCCCCCAAGGTCCTGCCCCCGGACTGTACCAGCCTGCCCGGTGTCCGGGCGATCCCCCCGGACAAGCAAGGGGTGAGTATTTAAGGGGGAGGAGCTGCTGACCTCTCTGAGAAGGTGTTTCCCAATCCGCTACTCGGGCACCCATAGTCGGTCCATGTTTTTGCTTCCTCGCAGCTACCGGAGCAGGAATGTGGACTGTCAGTGGGTCCCTGAGGACCGGATTGGGAAACACTGACCTAGTAAAAGCCTAGCTCTTCTTCTTAAATGGCTGTTCTTGTTGTAATCTGGAGTCCTGATGCTGCCTTCTGCAGAACATGGAGCCGGTCATCAATGAGTTCATGCCAGATATCGCCATGGGCGTCTCGGCCATGAGCCTGAAGGAGCGGCGTTCCCCGGAGGGCCCTGCGGACGGCGAGCGTGGCGACTTCCACTCGCACGCCTCCACCATGCCCCCCCCGCAGCACTACACCACCGGGCCTGGGACTTGCCCCCCAGGCCGACACGGTCTGCCCCCCTGCAAGAAGCACGGTCCTGAGCCCCAGCCAGATGTCCGTTCCGACTTCCCCGACCTCTACGATTTCCCCTGCCGTCCCACCACTCCCGGCGCCAGCCGGCGCACGCCACCACCCCCACTGCCCTACGTGGGACCCGACCTTTACGGTGCCGCCCGCCCAGTCCCCGGGCCCCTCCCGCCGGCCTACATGCCTGACATGCCGCCCCCCGCCTGGCCCCCTGCAGACCCCCTGCGCCTGGACGTTCTGGAGCAGCCCCTGCAGCGCGTGCCCGTGCCTGCCACCCACGTCTCCAGGGGGCGCTCCAAGAATGAGTCGGACCAGACCTGCGGCCTGGCGCCGCTGCGCTCCCCCAGCGCACCGGAGGGGTCTGCAGGCGGGGCCGAGCCTGGGGGGGTGCTGCTCCCCCACTGGAACAGCAGCGGTGAGGAGGCCGTGTCTGGCCGGGACCGCAGGTCTCCCAACAAGCCCGAATACTCCTACCGCAAATCTGCACTTTAACCACGGACTGGAGCACGAGGAACTAAGGGAGAAGGGAGGGCTGGGTGGGCAGGGAGCTCCATGGCGAGGCTCCATCGCGAGGCTCCAGCGGCCTGGTTAGCTGGCCCAGAGCTGTGTGATGACCCAATAAGTTCCTGCTTTTTCACTAAATCCCCCTCCTGTTGTGTCCTGGGCCCCCAGCTTCTCGTGTCCCTCTGCTACCACCATTGATCGGTACGGAGGCTCTGGATGGACCCCGCATTAGCTTGACGAGACGATCCCTTCCCGCCCCAGGCCTCGCTTCAGTCTGCACACACCTTTAAATTGCAAATATTATGACAATAATGGCTAATAGCTAGACTGCAGTAAGTTACGTGCGTTGTGGCTGCTGCTGTTCGGAGGTGCCGCCTGTCCTGCACGTTTCACCCCCGCCGGGCTGGTCATGGCAAACACCTCCCTGTGTTACTGGACGCTCTGTGTTTATGCATCATCCTCTGGGTTCAGATCCCAGGCTTTGGCTGTTTGACATCACATGCTAACATACCCGTTTAGTAACAGCATTATTTCCCAGTACCGATCGAAAGTACTTGGGGTCCAGACCCATTTAGGCCGTTAACGCCAAGCTCGGCATCATCCCCACCGGCACGCTGTCGAACCCGTGACGCAGACGTATCCCTGTAGTGCATGTGGTCGCGTTCGCCCTAAGGGCTATCTCTGTTCCAGATGCCAAACTGCCCTGCTCCACGTACCCTAAAGTGCAACCCATAATAAGCAGAGGCCGTCTCCAGGTAACAAGGGACGGTTTGATGGCTCATCGGAGTAGCTTGACACAGCGGGTCCCTTTATTAGCCGGCGCAGCACGTGGTACACAGTACGCATGATAGCGACCTGCCGGCAATCTCCACACGCGATGTCAGCCTCATTCTCCTCCTCTATCAGTCTGCGGCGTTCACCATCATTTCCTGTCCCTAACTGCCCCCGTTTCCTGTCGCCTTTTTCAAATTTTTTTTTTTCATAACCGGAGAGACGACTCTTCCGCGCCGTGCAGTGGATCTTTTTCCAGCCGCGTGACAGGCAGCCGTGGTTGCAGTTGCCAGGTAACTTCCCCCCCATGTTCCAGCCCGAGGGATTCTGCTCACTAAAGCCACGTCTGAAAGATGGGGGTGTGTTTCAGCCGGCCAGCTTTGGTCGCAGTGCATTGTGGGAAAGGAATTGGCAAAGTGTAATTTTCCCTGTGGTCTGGTGTTACTGATGGCACTGTTGGGGCGGTTGAGTCGCCTGTGTCATGGAACCACTAACCAAAACCCGAGTGGGATGTTTCCAGGGACATCTGTCTGGTTTCCTGTCTCATACGTGACCCGATCCTGCTTCCCCTGACCCGTTCCTCAGCCGGTGCTGCCCCACTGTGCTCGGCTGAGTGTCACCGCGACTCCGGACCTCTCTCCTCGCTGCCTGAAACCTCCTGACCTCCACAGTGCCACCTCCTGGGCTAATCTTGAACCTACAGGCGGGCTCCTGTTTTCCGTGTTCCCCCCCCACACACTGCAGATCTCTACCTCTGTGCCCTATATCGCTTGTAATAAACCTGCCAATTTATCGGCGTTTTAGTGTCGGTCGCTCATGCGATGCAGCCCTGCGCCGTCGCTCGTATGCAAATCCGCCTCCGTCTCTTACTGCTAATTCCAGTCTTGACATCGCTAAGGTGCTTGCAGACTTAGCCGCAGCCCTCGCCATCAGCATCTGCAGGGGATGCGCCGAGGACAATGCGCGTCAGCCGTGAGCCGCAGGGGGCGGCGTAGCGTCGCAGTGCTTTGAAAATGTGCTAATGTGGGGGCCGGTGTGTCAGCCCAGGGCCCAGTTTCATGCTCTGCCTCTGTTCTTGTGGGTCTGTTGGGGGGGGGGGGGGGGGGGGGCTGTTTCAGCAAGGCTCAGAGAGACTTGGTGACTTAGCGGTTCGGGAGAAGGCTTTGCCTCTACAGTTACGCCACTTCTGCATCTTCTCTCTGCTTTGGTTTCACGCCCCCCATATCACAGTGCTCCAAAGCAGCCCCCCCTACATCTAAAGGCCCTGGCCAAGTCCAAATGTCAGCATCCACCTCAGAGGTCAGGGCAGAGGAGCTGGGCAGACCGAAATAGCACCCTGACCCTGCCGCGGGAGCTCCGCCACCCCTCCCACTCCTCCGGATGGTGGCTGGGCGCTGACTCCTGTTTTCCATTTTTAGAGAACATACCTGTTGAGATCTAAGAACCTGATGGCGTTCGTTTGAAGTCTCCCCACGTAGCCCCTATCTGGGCTTATTTTCCGCTTCAGGCCGTCTCGGTGGATAATGCGGAGTTCGCTTTCCTGTGGTCTGCACTGCTCCGCGACGTTGGAGAGGAATGCCGTCTCCTAGAGCGGAAGTTGGGGCTTGGACAGAGCCGTCCTTCTGCCGTTGGCACCGATTCCATGCGGAGCTGAAGGATCCTTCTGTTTTTTTTTTTTTGTTTTTTTTTAATTATTGGAACAGCAGGTCATTTCCACTTTGTGTCATCCCCGCGCTGGGAAGTGATCCAGCTTGCAGCAGGAAAGGTTCCCCCTTTAAATCAATCTGAAGTGTTGTCTTTAGTCATTGGTGTTTTAATCCTGTCATCTTCATTTCACGTTATGTAGTCGGAGTGACGCCGCGGCATCGGCGTGATCGTGGGAGGACAGTGACCCTGTGTTTCTGAAGGGCGAGAACCACTGTCTTGCTTCGGGAGGGGGCAGAGGGACCTGGCTCGGTCCAATCGGAGGGTACTGAAGCTGAAATTCCAGTCTGCGTCCAGTTAAGTGTGGGTTGTGTAAACAAAGGCCTCTTTTCAGCCTGTCCCTGCACGCGGGTAGGAGATGAACGGTTTATTCTTTCCTGTGATGCTAAGATGGTGCCACACACCTGTTTTTCTGCACCTCATCGGTGACCCCCACATGACCTCACCCCTTCCTATCCAGCCAGTTAGATCCCAAGTATTACATTCACAAGAGGGGAGCGACGCTGTTGAATTGTGGGTAGGGAGGCATGCGGTCCCATTGTTTTCTGGCCTTGTGGTGTTCACCAGCAGTATTAAGTTCTTTTTCTGCCTGGTGAGGGCCTGATGATGTCTGTTAGCACATGCAGAGTGGAAGGCAGTATGTGGTTCCTGTTGAATGATCCCTCCTGGGGCAGAGGTCGCCTCTCGGCCGCTGTGTGGGGCTCGCGGCCGGGTTTTCCTTTCCGGTCAGCATACTCGCAGCTCGAATCGCAGTGCGGTGACGATTTCAGCCAGCGTGACGCAGCCGCCTGCCCGGACCCCCACCCTGCTTTGTAAGCATGTGGCCGCTGTTCCCGAGATGACAGAGTAGCACACGGACCCTGGTGGAGCGCTGCGGGTCTTCACGTGGCTTCTGAGGAGACTTTGAGAGCAAAAAGGAAAAAAAAATAAAAATTCCATTCTGTTTGCTTCATGAGGAAAATATGCAGACCGCTGTTCATCCACACCCCCCCCCCATTTTTCCAGGACGAATCCAGCCGTCCCTTTGACGAGCGTGTGCCTTCTCCGGCCACCGGCTGGCCATTTCCCACGATGTGAACTTCTGTCCTATGCAAGCAAATTTTCTACAGAGCTGCGGTAACCAGACCTTTGTAAGACTCTACACATGCTTCATGTACATAGTGTTTTTGAGAGATAGTATTTTTTAATTTTGTAGGTACCTTTGAACAGAAACCTCTGGAAAATGTCATTTGTTATGATTGTGTATAACAAGTATGTCTGCCATATTTGTTATATATATATATATAACCTAACACCTTTTCTTGTAGACAACTCGTACCAGGTTGTATAAAGTCTCACTGGTTCTATTTTTCTACTGCTCTCAGAGAGGGGGTGTTAACCGCAAGGAACATACAGTTTGCAACTGCGTAGCTTCTTCACAATAAAAGTGCTTCTACATACTTCTGGCTGCCTGATTTCATTCCACTTTGCAAACAGAAGTGAGCCTGCTAACCACAGGCTTCGCGAACGTGGCGGAAGAGGAGGAGAACAACAATGAGCCACAGGAAGTAGCATAAAAACAAACCAGTACTTTTATTGCGAACGACACAAAAAAAAACAGCTAGGGCATGAATTTTTTTTTTTTTTAAACTAATTCTCCTTAAGCTTTAAAGACAATATGAATGAAGACGTGACCATTGGCTGACAATCCAAGATGTGACAGACTGGCTTTCTGTCCAGCTTAGCTAACGGTCACGTACTATCGTCTTAGACCAGAGACTCCCGACAGACAGGCAGCCAGTGGTGCCAGAGACTGACGTCACCACAGAGACCCCCGGCTGCCTCAGCACCAGCCCAGCCTCACGCCGTTTCCATGGTACCATTGAGGCAAAGTCGGCTCCTCGGCTTGAACATGGCCTCACACCTTCTCTTTGGTCATTTGAATTTTTAATTTTATTTCCTAGCAACATAAAGGGTGTATCATGGGATGTATGGCTGCCAGCGCTCGTGCATGGGCAGATGGCATCCTCTGCCAGGGGCCTGGCGGGCAGCAGGGATCCCTCAGCTGCAGTAATACTGGCTAACGTTGGTCCGGCGCCGTTTCCGGCTCTGCAGCTCCTCGAAGAACTGCTGGATGTCCTCCGGCGCCACCACCTGCGGAAAGGTGGCGAACACCTCAACATCTTCAGCTGTTCTGCTTTTGGCAGATTATCTGGCCTGATCAGGGCGCTCATGGGTCATGCATGGTTAGAAAATCACTTGTGTAGCTTCCTTACCTTTCCTTCTTCCACAAACCTCTGCAGGTAGTCCTTCAACTCTGCCTTCATGTCATTGAATTCTGGGGAGCAGAGAGGGGTAGCTTCATGTTAAACTGGCCTCTCGCACGGCCGGTGCACCGCTAGCGAAGCAGCTCCGTGGCCCTGCCCGCCTCACCGTAGATGACCTCCAGCTGCTGGACGTGGTTGAGCGCATTGAGAGCCGTCAGCAGCGGGTCACTTGCCCCCCGCTCCGATCTTCCCCTGTTCTCGTAGGCTAGGACAGTGTCGGACTCATCCAGCAGGAAGGGCACGCCGTTCGCAACATAGGCACGCTGCAGGGCGATGGGAGACATTGCATAAGAAGTTCTCCCAGCTTCCAGTGAGTACTTCTACAGGGGTGCCACCAGAAGTATACTGGAGGGGCATTAGGACCGTGGGGGCCACGTGGCTGGCAAATCTCAATTTTGGAACTTATTACTGACTTTCAAGTAGCCCAACGGGTCAATTATTTACACCTGCAAAATAAAGGGGACTTAATCCATAGATAAAATAAACTGCCGATTCCTCGGTTAAATCATTATAGACTCTATGCATGACAGAAATCAGCCAAGTCCGCTACACTACTGTCTGGTATGGGAACGTCAGCCGGACCCAGTGGCTCGGGATCAGGAAGGTGAGGGTTGGATGTCTGGCTGAGGATGGCGATGGCGGCATGGCTGTACCTTGCAGCTGATGCAGGTGCACAGCTGGCTGCGCCACACATAGGGCCAGAAGACCGCCCCCGCCCTGGGTCTGCACACGCCCTGGGCCTTCATCCTCTCTAGCTTGCACTGCTCTGCCGCGGTGCAGGGGAGTTCCACCATCTGCTCGTGCGTCCTCTTGCACCCGGACAGCCGGTCTGTCGGCACCTTGGATGTGGCGTGTGGGGAGGGAGACGGCGGCATGAAATACCAGCCCGACGTGCCAGTTTGTCACTTTGACGCTCATGCGGCCAAAGCCGCCAACTGGGACAGGAGTGACCTTTAGCTCCACCAGAAAGGTGTGCTACCGAAAGCAGACCCGTGCAGCGCGTCACAGCAAAATCCTGGCTACGCCATGCCAGGAGCAGGGAGACCTGTATTTCACAAGGACCATTAGCCTGCTAATTAACCACGAAGAAGAGTGGCAGAGCTTGGCTGCAGGATAACAACAGCTGTGGCACAGCGCCATCTGCTGGCAAAAATCTGGATTGCAAGCCCAATGTGATTCCATCCCCATAAGAAGCGATGGCCTTTCACCACCCACAAGTGCCTACGTGGTTCTGCACCAGCCTCAGTACCTTTTCTAACAGGCTGCTACTGGTGGATGGGTCTGGTCCTGCAGACTCCTCTGTCTTCTTATCATCCGAGTCGTCAACCTTTACCTCCATCTCTTCCTTGGACGGGCTCACTTTGGTAACCGGAGGCTCTGCAAAGTGTCATACATCTAATCAGGAACAAATGATATTTTACATGGGGGAGGGGGATGCTCCTGTTGTGCCTGAATTGCGTACCTGCAATGTGATCAGCGTAGTTCCATAAGAAGGGGGCTTTGTTCATACAGACCTCACACACCATCTCCTGCAGCTCCACACACTCTGCCAGCGTGCAGCCCAAGTGCTGAGGAGAAAGACGGCAGTCTGCAAATACACTCCCCACATGCTGACTGTCAGATTTTTTTTTTTTTTAATCCCCATGCCCACGCCCCAGTGTAAATAAAACTCACCCGTCCATGGAACCAGTCTTCACAAACAATGCACTGAATCATCTCATCTGGAACCTGGTAAGGATTAGTGGGAACTGCATTACCCAGGAGTATCTGTTAGCCAGTGCACACCCCCCTTCCACACAGTTGTGGTGAAGTCGCACTGGGTCAGGGGTCTCACCTGGTCCTCTGGGTCTGGATACGGTCTGTCGCAGGTACAGTACAAGCCGAAGAAATTGTGGTTGTATTTGTTGTTGGGGTTCACTTTGTCCTTTTCCTTATACAAAACACGAGACACATGGTGGATACTGGGAGATCAGCAGTGATTATAATTTTAGGGAGAGGGAGAGGGTATAATATGACTTACTGGGAAGAGTTTACATTCCAATCCCTCAAACTTCGCATTGCCACAGTCACAGCGAAAATTTCTGCAGCCAAAGAAAAAGTCGAATAAACATGGAGAGGTTCTCACACCCAGGTGGTCAGCCTAACACAGAAAGTATGCTCACCCTAGGCTATGTTAGCACTCTTGTTCCACTTTCAATTACTGTGGTGAGGCTAATTAGTCACCTGACGTACAGCTTAACATGTAACTCAAGCATTACCAAAAAGCTGCATTTTTCTGCTCGTATGTGTTGGTTTGGCCAGCTTACCCCGAAAAACCCACCTACTCGCAAAAAACAGTGTCTTACAACCAACGCCAGAGGGAGCCGTTGATACACAACGAACGGATTTTATTTACATAAATCTACAGTAGTCTTAACCCGATATTGCTTACTTTGTTCAACAATCTTAAGATTGACCAAATACACCGTATAATGATCAGCAATTTTATATTAAATTAACAGTTAACTGCATGCAGACTTTCCGACATATGCTAGGGTATACAGAGTGCATGTTCTAACCCAGTGGTTCTCAGTCCTGTTCCTAAGGTGTTTCCATTCCAACCTGCTTTCAACTTTCCACATTCACTATTAGCAAACTAAGGACTATATAAGCCTGATCAACGTAGGGATGGAATAAAATCATTCGGCGGCGGCGGCGGATTTAGAACCATTGTTATAACCACTGCATTCAATACCCGTTCATCACGGCCTTAGCCCCTGAATAGGGCTCACCTTTTAGTGTATAACTCGAAGAGATCATGTCCTTCATGACATTTGTATGAACAGGCGAGGCAGATCCCCGCCGGCTCGGCACCCTTTGGGGTGCAGGTGCTGCAGGCGTAGAGCGCCTGTCTCTTCACGTACCCCTGCGGAAAATAAAGCGGGTGTTACACATTACCGCGAGATATCCGGGGAGGCCGGTAGGGCTTGGATCACCAAGAGGCAAGGTAAAACTAACATGCCCATCTGCTTTTATTTCGCATTCCTACACAACTATTGTCTTAAACAGAGTGATAAACACTGAATGTTTATATTTGCTGTGTTTATGGCCCCCAATAAATAATTTATTATTACGAAAATTGGTTTGTTTGATTGCGTTTCTAATGCTTTGTAGTCTGGGTTGCCGCTGCTCTCAATGGCAGCTGATTTTCGGGTGCATACAAGACGGAGGGAGACGCATTTTCCTACCTGCGGATATGAGCATTTGTCCGGATCGCTGGCGCCTAGCACCGCGTAGGCTATGTCCTCTAACTCATCGTCTTCTTCCAAAACGTCTACAAGAGAAACCGTGCTTTCCTCCTCGCCGTTCAGCGCCATCCTTAGAAATAGCGAGCTCTAGATAGACGCAAACACGCCCACCCCCTAATAACAATAGCGCGTTTTAACTTCCTCTTCCAGGGCGAAAAGGATAGACAACAGGACCGAATTGCACGGCGTTGTAATAAACCACGATTAATTATTGCAGCACAAAGTATACTGCACAACAGATATGTGGGTTGTAATCTTCACCAGTTCTACCTTTTCTGAGGGATACGCAGAAAACGAAATAGACGCGCGCAGGGAGCGATTATGTGGCGTTTCCGCTTCCGGGTCACGAAATCACGGCTGGCGGGAAATGATCAAATGTGCTTGTGGTTGTGTACAGCCATTTCCCGCATTCGACCGCCGGATTTATCCGCTTTGTGTTTGCACGCTCGTCGCTATATATTTAGTCTTTTTTTTTTCCATTGTATGCAACCATGAATATTTGTTTTTTTTCTTGCGCAGTCTTCACAGGTAAAACTATTTTCATACACGGACACAGCAAATTTACTGGGAAATGCTATTAGTGCGTTGGTTTGTGAAAAGGAAATGGTAGGTTAAGGAAGAATAACATGCTATAGATAAATATTGTTAACATTTAGCTGTAATAGATGGGTTTGAGGCATCATTGTCGTATTATTGTAATAACCATAACTGTGTAGAACGTGCTTAATGTTAATCACTACGGTGATTAACTCCTGGTTAATGATTATAATTTATTACATTATTCCCATGTTTCGAAACATCGCTTTAATTTTTTTAATTAAACATTTACATGACACTCCATCTGAAACAGACGACCATGTCCTTACCCTGCAATCTTGTTGAGAATTGTCACTCAAGATTATTGTGGTGAGGCAAATGTTAGTGGTTACTTAAATAGTCTTGTATGTAACATTTCATAAGTGAAACCTTAAGTGAAGCGCCTCCGGTACTGCTTAGTATGGATATGAACAAATTACCCTACAAATAATTATTCTTATAATATTATTCTCAAATGCTTTATTAAAAATTAATCACAGTGCATTTGAAAGGCAAACATTCCTGAACACAACCTCTCACTGGAAAAAATATAAGACCCTTCATAAAAGGAAAAGGGGCTATAAAGATTTACATTGGCACTGCCAAATGGGCAATAACTATGGCCTGTAATCTAACAGTTCCCTAGCTGAGCCTGAGGCCGTTCACAATGCTGTACCGTGGTGCGACAAGGGGTATACCAAAAATTTCACAAGACAATTCAACACCATCCAACGTAACAAAAAAAGCATGCCCAAATCAGGTTTTACTGCAAATTTAATTACACCAATTAGCCAGACAGAACCTGTGTATATTTGAATATAAACAAATGCCCACACCAAGAAGGATATTGAGCAAAATTGCAGTGAATCTGTGGTCCCCCCCCTTACAGTGTTAGACAAGTTAAAGTCTGGATCCCTGACTGCTTCCAGTGTTGTCCCATTTGAAAGGTCTAACAGGACAACACGTGCCAACTTCCAAAGCACACTGGAGTACCTGATTTCACACTTGCTCAAAATTTACTTAACCAGACAGATATATTAAATATATAAAGCCACTTAACAGTATGACATTTTCACCTTGCAAAGGAGGTGGAATGCTCAAACCCACCTTTATAGAAAGTGTTTTAAAAATATTATCAACACGACACACTGAGCTTAAAAACCCAGTCGGGCTACCATAGAAAACGGCAGATCTGAATAACTGCGGCCATGCACCTTCCTGCAGGATTTGGTACATTTCGCTAATATGAGATAAATATTCAATGGCTTCCTAAGATACTCTGAGATGTAGGTAGCCTCTTGTGCACTCATTTCTGAATCAGCATTATCATCAGCATAAGCAATGGCTTACTTAAAAAAATCACAATCTTTTTTAGCTCAAAAAGAAATCACCAGTACATGAATCTGATAAGTGGAGTGTGAACATTGAATTCCAAATAAAATAAGCAACTGAAAACTATGAAGACCTGCCTTCTCAACCCATCTTTTACTAGTGTCTTGGTTAGCAAGTTGATCATCTGCCTTGTGGTTTCAGTTAAGTGTCAATCAGCTGCAGCTGGCTGATCTGATTGGATGCCTTGGTAAAGGTTTTGTTCCGCTTGCAGAGTACAGCCAGGCAGACGGGCAGAATACAATAGCCCACAGTCCTGGGGTCCGCACGGGTGCAAGAGTAGAGAAAGAGGAATACTTGAAGATAAGGGATGAGGAAGAGGGTGACCCACAGCCAAAAGGGGAAGGACAGGAGGTGCATCTTCAGAACGTGCACCCACGAGGAATGAGGGACAGCAGAGTTGTCGGTGGGCTGTGGCCCAGAAGCCACAGATTCTACACGTTCCAGTGTCAGTCGGTTGTAGGTCTGGCTGATCTCAAAGACATAGAAAAGGCCTGCCACACTAGCCAAAAGGTACAGCCCCACGCCAATCCATCCCATCCGTTGGCGGAAGTTCATCATTCTCCATACTCCAGTCTGGAAAAAGGACAATGGTCTGTATTGTTGTGACATTACTACAGTTCACACAATGCAACAGACTTCATGAAAATGGTCTTAATTCCATAGCCCAGCATATCATTGAAGTACCTGTTGGGTATTCTTGCGTTAAGAATCAATTTGAAAGTCTCCCCCTAAGCACGGCGCTAAAACATGCTGAGAATGCGGAACTATACAAGTGAGATCAAGATCAGCTGTTTTTAGTAAGTAAAGACATCCTCACTTGATTCGTTGGGGTGACTAATTAGGTCAATCCTAACTTGGACATTACATGTTTATGCTAAGATCCCAAATTCGACAAATGAAAATGGATATTTTGTGGTCGGGATGTCTGGCGAAATACCTATATTATTGCGCAACATATATGGTATACTCATTTTGTTTTTAAGATGCGAAATCGTATTCTTTTATTTTATTAAATCGACATCGCGTTACATGTTAGCTATATAAAAAAGTTAAAGAAATTATACATATTGCGTCAACTGTCCTTCGCTATACACATACTTAAGTGACTTAATTATTCAGATGACGCCCGCTGTATTTGTGTAACCTTACGTAAAATCGTTTTTTTTATTGCTAATATTAAACCCCGGGAATATTACGCAAAATCAAACCCGCTTAATTAATAATCCCACTCCCATTACGTGGAAATAGACATTCATAAACACCACCACCACCCCCGCACAAATGGAACAAATCATAATATGCATGTGTCAGATATGTATTTATCAAACTTCTTATTCGATTTCCCACTTCCTATAAAACTTTTAATAACGCCAAAATGAACACAACGCAGCCCACCTTTCTTTGCTAGTTGAACAACTAGATTTCTGGCTGATAACTTTTTTCTTAGCCTCTTAGTTTCAGAATTAACCACATCCGTTCGGATCAATGTTCCCCATGTCTGCTGTCATCTGACTTCCAGCTAATCAACTTCCTTTTTTGAAAAAAAAAAGAAAAAAAATGCTACATCCGGGAGAATTTAACCCCTCTTACTGAACTACTCTAAAGCCCCCGAGAGCAGTGACGCCCTCTTGTGGCTTGGAGGGCTGCGAACGACAAACTTTTACATACGAAGTAAACACGTTTCAGTATCATCATTTCATCACATTTCGGGATTTGAGTCATATGGGTTTAACGTGTTTAATGTTAATGTAATTTAAGCGATTGTTTTTTATTACATCTTTTCACATAAGCTATTAATCCATGCCCCGGATACTTATCCTGAACATTATGGCATTCCCCCCAAATTTTCATTCATTCATATTCCACAAAGTAGAATTTCCTAGTTAGATGGATAAGCCAAACGTGAAAACCGTCCAATAGAAGGAGAGAAGTCACATTACTACTGGAGAATTCTTACGTTTGGCTTAAGTTATTTGGCTAATGGATGAAAAAATGTCGAATAACCCCTAGATCTTTTCTTTTTGATTGCACAATATTTATCCTTTCTATTAAATAACAGGTACGAGAATCGTGTTTTAATTTTAAAAATTCATACAATTTTCTAGTGCAAGCTTCCGGTGGCATATAAGATATCTTTTATCATTTTACAGCAGTGGAGTTCAATATCTAATCAATAGTCCAAAGTTTAATTAGATTTGCTTAACAGCTTCATACAATATTCATATATTGAATATTGTCAGGTATTGTGTGGGCGTTGTAAGTTTTAGTGTATATCCTGATTACGTATATTTACTAGCGTTTGTAAAATTACTAATCTAGCCATGTTATAAGCGTATTGTCTACGTTATTTGATTAGTCCGAATACAAGTTCAACCAGAAAATCCGAGTCGGATGGCAAATTTTATTTCTTCGCACCGTCCCTGCTGCTGGGCATTGGGTGAAAATCAATATCAATTTCCGTAAGGAAGCTGCTCTCGGACCATTTAAGCTTCCCGTTATGGGAACCATAGATTTTAATACAAACGATGGGTCCAGCGTTTGCTGAATTTTGAGTAAGGCAGCCTGATTGAACTATTACTGGTCTCTGATGTTATTTCAGGGTTTTATTTTAGCCTGCATTTGGGCAATCCGATCTTAACGCTCAAGAATTGGAAGTTTAGTGTATCTGTCTGAAGGGAAACTTGTGTAACTAATCAGCTGACTACCATGGGCTAACAAATACCATATAGTGTCATATAGGACCTTTTATCACTGGGTTTTCACAATAATGTTTATTCTGTCAGTAGGCTGGATTGTATAACTGTTAATTATTGAAGCTGTACTCGCAGTACCACCCAGCCATACTGCACCATTGAGATATAAACCATTGCACCCACCCATTTACTACTTAAGGTGACCAATGCTCACATCCCACTCAAGTGATATGCAAACAGTATCTGTGAAGGAGTATATCGGGTCCTGTCACAAGACGTCAAGGTAATTCTGCGTTAATCTAGGCCTGTGCTTGATCGTTCTTGGCGCGTACGGAGTCCTCACTGGACACTTTCTTAAGTTGTGGATCACTTGCAAAACATCCACCGGCAATTAATAAGGTAATGCATTTGTGATCTAAGGCTAATTGCGATGACTGCACTGCCTTCAAAATTATTAGAATTCCAATATGAATATTCGCGACGATCTTGTCCGCTGCTTTTTCTTTAGTTTCTCTAAAATTACCATCATTAAGAAGGTATATTATTGTATTACAGACAGCCACGCATATGTTTGATGAAATCGAACAGTGTGACTAAAACAATATTTAAACCGGTCCACTGCGCCCGAGCGTCTGCACAGAGCAGAGGGGCGACTCAGCCGGGTCTCCGGCCATCCCGAGCTCCAGTGCGGGTCCCTATCAGTCGCGGTCCCCTGTTTCTTTAAGGAGAGGGACGATGCTGTCCTGCCGCCACCTAGGGGAGCTGTCGGGAGGCTGACGCAGGCTTTTCTTTCAATTCACTGTACGGGAAGAGAAAGAAGGAGAGAGAGAGGCAGAAAGAGAAGGCATTTGGCAGACGGCGCAGTGTATGCCATGGCTGCGGAGGGGGCATGATGCCATGCCCGGCGCCACTGAATCCAGCCTGACTTCGGAGGGTGTGTCCACCAAGCCGGGACTCATCTGAACGGAAAACGTCTCACTTTAAAACCTACAAAAACACACGGAGCGCAGGATCGCCGGGCGGCTGCGAGGGGTATCGGGGAGGCTAGCGGATCGGCTCCCGGAGAATGGTCCGCTAGCGGGCTGCGAAGGCGGCGCAGCTGGGCGAGGGAAACGGAGACCCAGGGGAGATGCGTTAAAGGGTATGGTGCCCCGCGGACGAGCAGCAGCCAGCCTCGCTAACCAGCTAACAAGCCGCATAAGCAGCACTAAAGTGGCGCCGCGGCGCATGTTTCCCCACAGACCGCGTTTGGCAGCGCATTATCGGGAAATACTGTCGCCTTCCTAAACATTGCGCATTTAAAATAAGAATCGAGCAGCCAGGCGTTATTGTTATTATGTGCATGATGGTGCATCCTCTAAAAACGCCAGCAGATGTGAATATTTGTGTTTTCCCGTCCTATTATTTTTACACAGTGCAGGCTTAGCTATGTGGGATAACATCGATGTCCGAAATGTGCTTTATTTAAGTGGATTTATTTTAAATTATTACTGCCTCTGATCACCATCTCCTTTTTTTTTTTTTTTTTTTTTTTTTAATAATCTCTCCTTCACGATCAGGTTCGCGGACTGAGACGGTTTCCTGTTTTCGGCGACAGCCAGCCCGGCGGATCCTTGGTGCCGAAGCGGCGGCGATGCAGACCTTCCTGCGAGGCAAGCGGGTGGGCTACTGGCTCAGCGAGAAGAAGATGAAGAAGCTCAATTTCCAGGCCTTCGCCGATCTGTGCAGGTTGGCAGCGAGCCTCCTACAATCCTGCCTGGCTTTCTGTTGTTTTTATGTGGACGCCATGCATGCGTCGGTGCCGCCGTGTGATGGGATGAATCTGGTTTGATTGTAAATGTAGAAATCGCATCTGCATGCATGTTTCACCTTGCTGACCTGTTGCCGCTTAGGGTGGGTGTGTGTGTGTATTGGGGGCGGGTGGAGATGGATGGATGCCGTGACCTAGTACATTTCCGATACCTTCTGGCTTTACAATACATGGTGTGTGTGTTTTTTTTTTTAACACTGTAGTTCAGACGGGCGGCCATTTCACATGGCAATGCGGTTTTCCTGTGTCCAAGGACTGGGATATCCTTCTCCCGATATAATCTGTTTATGTGACGTTTCATATATCACCTGAGGTACAGAACAGCAGGTCTACTACATTAGATGGAGCCTGCCAGGTTTTTATTACCCAGCCAGGCACTGATTGATGCGGTTTACATATATATTTTTTGTTGTTATTTCCAAAGTTAGACTTTCTGTAAGCCTTTTGAAGGGAATGCCAAACGATGTAATGTGTTTCTAACAGCTGGATATAGCAACGGGCTGTGCACTCATTTGCTATGGGACAGATTGTGTGGCTCAGACATAGATACACAGCAGCCTTCGTCAGTTTGTGATGGGTTGCTTAAGGCCGTGCGTCTTTGTCTCTCAGTCTTCGCTTCCAACTCTTAGGAGGTTGAGGCTAATCCTTTACTCAGGGCCTATAAAAGAGCTTTATTTTCCTTCTGTTTTCTTTCATCCTTTCGTTTATACAAACTCCGACTCTGAGCGTCTCGCTTTTGAGATTGCTGGTGTTACTTGTCCGGCACAGGGAGCAGCTGCCGGGTTACTGTAGGGGGTGCTATGCTGTGCTGGGGGGCCCTCAGCGTGCACTGTGACATGCCAGGTCTTGTGCCCTGCAGAGCAGGCGGGTGACACCGGGCCGAGGGTGCTAGGAAAGCCACAGGTTCTGATCTGGGGTAACTGCTGTTGTGGATCTTGTAGTGGGTTTTGAATAAGTGCCTAACTGATAAACTTCCCTCAGTCTGTGGCTGGTTCTGCAGGCATGTCTATCACTCTTGACATTTCTGCCTGTGTGGATGGTTTAAGGGTTTTTTTTTTTTTGAGGGATTACCCAGACCTATACAGCCGATTGTATCTGCCCTGCCGTCTTTAGTTTCGTTGACCTAATTTATAAGACTGTAATTCCAGTGGTGACATTTTTTGTTAGATTTAAGTATCTGGCTGAGCTGCAATGTGGGGTAACGTTCCTGAAAGTCTTTCTTGCCGTTGCAGTGCATTCCCAGTCTGCCTCGGCCCTGCCTCGCTTCAGCTTAGTGTTGTGGGTGGTGTCGCCTCCTTATTCACGGTGCTGCTGGTGTCTCAGGTTTGGCATTTTGGGTGGTTGATGCAGCTCCCTGGAATGCACTGACAAGCCAGAGTGGGCGTGGCTAAGGGTATCCTTTCGGTTTATTGAGATGATAAAAGGAATGAGGACAGGACTTAAAAAAAAAAAAATATACCAAACTCCAAGGATAAGTGGTGGGATGGGCTTACCAGGGATTCCCTGGGCAAACTCGTCAGAACCGGAGTGATAAGAATCTGTAGCTGGGGTAGAGAGGTGTGAGTGTGTATCGTGAACTAGATAGTGAACCTTTTGGGTGTGTGTCGCTGTGAGTGAGCGTCCATCTTTGTCTTCCTGCTTTACTGACAATGGCCCGTCTGGCTGCCACAGTCTTGGGTCAGAACATTGAGTTATATAACGGGCTGATAAGTGGGTTAGGGATGGTGCCGCTTTGCTGGCTAAACGCACTGCTGTATACCCGCCCTGCTTAGGCACAAAGACTGCTGTGTCGTGCGTCAACGAGCAGGAGCGCAGCAAAGACCTAGGCAAGCTGATTTCCCTAATCCCCATTCCGGGGACATGGGCGTGATCACGCCCAGGGAGCCATCTTGGATTGGAGGTCATGGGAAACCCCCCCCCCCCCACACATCCAAACATAGGCGGTAGTTGACTGCGACTGTTTGGACTTGGCCAGTATCTGCCTGGGAGATCTAGAGCTCACAGTGGACCGCTAGATCCCAGAGGAACTGGACGGAATGGGTGCCGATTCAGAATGGTTTTGTGCGATTGCGGGTGATGCCTCAACTTGGCTGGGGAGAGGAAAGTAGACCGGGGAGGAGTTAACTGCCGATGAGTCATTTGACTGGCATGGTTCTCAAAAGACTTTCTTGTCCACAACTCGAGAAAGGGAAGAACATTGAGGTTCTGTCTGTTTTCATCTACTTCCTTGTTGACTCTTAATAGCACCTGCGTCAAGTTGCGAAACAAAGGCCCTTTGTTAAAATATCCCACCACTAGGCTCAACCACCTCTCTGCTCAATGGGGCAACTGATCCATAAGTTGTTTCAGGCCACCGTGGGTGAAGACCGATTGTGTCAAATCCACTGCTGCCATTCATCGAGTTTTGGACTGTACCACGAAAAACAGATGCAGATCCCAGTTGTGTCTGTATCTGATACCACATGCCGACTCCTGCTGGTAGGATTTCCTAACCCAGACGAGTCAGTTCTTGCTGGATGATGACTTCACATTCGGGTGAGATATCCACCTTCATCAAGGTCACATGCTGCTGGACCTTTGTCTTCCTGCTTTACTGACAATGGCCTGTCTGGCTGCCACAGTCTTGGGTCAGAACTTTGAGTTATATAACGGGCTGATAAGTGGGTTAGGGATGGTGTGTCCACTATGTCCAACGGGTGACCCCCCCCCCCCCCCAAGCAGGAGGTCAGCTCCGGGTTGCCCGGCAACCAGGAAGACAAAGCAAAGGTAGACCCCCTGCTGGAAGAAGAAAAGCACGATTCTTTCTGCACTTCATCTTTTTTGTATGTTTTTGGCCTTTTGGTAGATAAGTCCTTTTTTGGCAATTTTGGATGCTTTGGAGAGAGGCCGCAGACCTATCTGGGTCTGTGTGAAAAGACGCGTCTGGTCAGACTGGCTCCGGCAGCCATCCCAGGGCTGTTGGCACCATGTAATAGAGACGGGGGGGCCCGAGGCTGTCTGGGTCCCGGAGCACAGGGAGTCCTCCATGGCAGTGTTTCCCAGTCCGGTCCTCGGGGACCCACAGCCGGTCCACGTTTTTGCTCCCTCCGAGCTCCCTGCCTGTAAGGTCTACAGCAAAAATGTGGACTGTCTGTGGGTCCCCAAGCACCGGACTGGGAGACACTGCTCCAGGGGATCAGCCGGCGGTGTCACGGAATGCCTTACCACAACACGGTTGCTAGGGCAACAGAGTAACAAGAAATACGTGAAAGCCGTCCCTTGCCGGGCTGACCCGGCCACTGCTGCGGCCTGCCTGCCACAGAGCCTCGCCTGCTGCGGCCTGCCTGCCTCAGAGCCTCGCCGGCTGCGGCCTGCCTGCCTCAGAGCCTCGCCGGCTGCGGCCTGCCTGCCTCAGAGCCTCGCCGGCTGCGGCCTGCCTGCCACAGAGCCTCGCCGGCTGCGGCCTGCCTGCCACAGAGCCTCGCCGGCTGCGGCCTGCCTGCCACAGAGCCTCGCCGGCTGCGGGAGGGGATGAGTCACCCCCCTGCACTTGCTTTGAAAAGCTTTAAAAGGGTTTTTTTTCCCAGCAGCCTCAGCCCTTCTCTTTGCTTTATTGCTGGCAGAAGAATGGGCCCCGATCATAGCCAATGGTGTGTGTGTGTGTGTGTGTGTGTGTGTTCGTACACCTGTGAGTTTCTTTCTGAGTTGCCTGTATGACAAACCCCCCCCCCACAATTCCCCTCTTTCCATAGCATCTGGCCGGTTGTGTTGTTGGGCCGGGGGCTGGGGGGGGTTGCCTGTCCGGTCCAGCTGGCTACCCGACGGCACTTTCTGAAAAGAGAGCGATCCCTTTTTACTCTGCTCAGCACTGTTCATTAAAATGAAGATCTGTAGTCTCTGGAATCCATTTCAGCTTGGTCTCCGAAGGGGCCATTTCCAAGTTTGGGGGGCAGTTGACATTAAAGCTGGGGCTCTGCTTGTCCTTTGCTTGTCACTGGTGCTGTGCCCTCAACGGTCTGCCAGTTGTGCCCTAGCTGTAGGTAAATGTACCTTTTAGTCTAATCTAAGGTACAGAAATGGCCTCTGAGGAATCTTAAGGGTACAAGTACTTAAGCTAAGGGTACAATTGGCAGACCCTTCATGGTACAAATTGGTACTCACTTCTTCTCACACTGTCAGTAAAATAAACAGGCAAAGGCTGTTTTTGGTCAAGTGCTGGTCTTTTGTCTCTTTCTGGAATTGCCGGCTGACCGTCCCTTTTGCAGTTCACCATGGTTACACCCAAACTCTTCGCTAGTTGCGGTGTACAGTTTGAGTGTCACTTGCTCTTATTGTTCCCTTTTCACCGCCTTCGTTGCCCGCTAGTTCTAACAGAACCGGACTCGGCCTGTGAGCTGCGGGTGCCGTGTGTATCGCATGAAGCTATGTGCCTCATTCATGATTCAGGAAAGGTCCGCGGTATTGGATACCGGCACTGACCGGTAGGCTCTGTTGCTGTTTTGTTGCCTGGAGCCTGTTGAGTAGGAATTCCATTCTTGACGTTGCACAGCTCTCCTTGTGACTTAGTTGCGACGTATCGTTAGTATGCCGCATGCACTGACGCCGGATCACATGACCGTCACATTTACGTCAAAGACTCAGCAGTGGCCTGAATTGGGCAGATAGGTGGTATTTCCTCATTCCCCACTGTGACTGATGTAGGGACACTGGTAAGACATGGCCTGTCTACTTCCTGCTCTGGTCGCACTCCGTGTTTCCCGCGGCAAACTTTCGCAACAGCTGGGTGATGGTGGAACCTAATTGGCAGCAGGCAGCGTGTCACGGCTTGCCCGCACACCAATCGCACAGGTCGGCCTGCTTAACAAGAAAGCTGTTTACATTTTTTTTGCAAATAGTCCTTTAGCAGAGATGTTTAAAGGAGTTCTACCCAAGAATGACCTCAAAACCCAAAAAACCTACTGTCATCTTGATCTTGCTGAGTCATTCATAAAGCCTTTTGACAACTTATGAGTTGTGGGTATGCAGTTGTCTTCAAATGTGCCTGAACAAATTTTATAAGTGAAGGGGGCAGGGGGGTCCTTTGCAATGGATGGAGTGTTGTGTGTCTTCTGGACTTGTCCACTCCACTTTGACTACAATTTCTTGGGTTGTTCAGCAGTGGCATTTATCTTTGTATTTTTAAATGCCTGCCTTTGTTGTTTTTATATTATTGATTATGATGGAAATAGGATGGCCTGGGACGTGTTACTAAAGAGCTTTTTAGTTTGTGGTTTGTTTGCAGCGATTCAGAGTTGGGATGTGGCTGCTGGGATGTTTATTATGTACCCGATGCCAGTGGAATACATTTAATGTTTGGCTGCAGCATCCTTCCCCAAATGACCATCCTGCCCCATGACTCTGAGTGCCATGGCCACACGAGTCTCTGCATCCATAAATGGTCTCCCGCTTGTTACACGAGAATGAAGTGCTTGACAAATCAAACAAAAGTTGCCAGCACTGGGCTTTATTCCCATAAGAACATAAGAAATTTACCAATGAGAGGAGGCCATTCGGCCCATCAAGCTCGTTTGGGGAGAACTTAACTAATAGCTCAGAGTTGTTAAAATCTTATCTAGCTCTGATTTTAAAGGAACCCAGGGTTTTAGCTTGCGCTACTTGAACAGGAAGACTATTCCGTACTCTAACTACATGCTGTGTAAAGAAGTGTTTTCTCAAATTCAGTTTAAAATGTTCTCCCGCTAATTTCCACCTATGGCCATTGTGGATATCGGGATTGCTGGACTCCCCTAACCCTGTGAGGTGCCGACGCCGAGATCAAACCTTGGCCGATGTTTCCCAAAGTTGGTCCACATGATGCTGTCTGGTTGCTGGTTTTCACTCGTGAAATAAAGAACTTGCTTTTTAAGTCTGGAAAGATTGTCTTTATAAGGGTAAATCAACCTGGTTAGCTGAAAAAACTCTCTTTCGCTTTCCCTGATGTGTTACGCAGATTGTGGGGAATAATTGTTTTGTGAAGAAAAATTACATGCTTCTAAATCAAAGACGTTCCTTATTAATTTCATGTAATCAATAATTAATCATTCCTAGCTCCTGAACAACCAAATGATTGGCTAATTCATTTAATAGGGAGGTTCACGGCTGATCAGATAAAGGGAACACACACATGGGTGCCTAAGTGTGGTTAATGCAGTGTAAGGTTGTCACATGATTGAATCACATGTCACATTTAATCATATCTCATCACAGGCTGGGTGATCGCTGGGTCATGAGGATGCAGAACGAGCTGGCTGTGGGCTGATGGTGGCAGCCTTCGGGGGGGGGGGGGGGGTCACTCTCTCTTTTCGCTGACTGACCTGTGTCTGTGCTTTTTTATAATTGCATGTAGCTATCGCTACAGCATGATCTAGAATGAGCTTGGGGCAGCCTAGTGGAACGAATGTCGTCACCTAAAGCTGTGTCCCCCACCCCCCACTCCCCCCATCTGACCCCTTCTCGCCCCTAAAAGCCACCATAACCATTCATGCTGCTGTGAGCGGCTCCCCTTGTGGTCACGAATGGGTTACACCACCATCGGTCGCTTGCCGCAGAGTACCTTACAGACTGGAACACCAATGCCATTCAGAAAAGCCATTCTTAAAATCACTTTCTTGTCCTGCAGCCATAACAAAACCACATTATCTCTAAATTCTAATTCTGGTGTTACTGAGTTGAGCAGGTGCTACATTGATGGTAATATGTTTCTCGTTCTCACTTTTTTTTTTTTTTCTTTGCAGGAAAAGAGGCATTGAAGTGGTCCAGGTAGGTTGCTTTTATTTGTACGTAAACAGTGTGGTATTGAGTTCACTTCCTGTTCTGCTGAGACTCTCCTCAGTATAGTGAGAAACTTCCTGTTGTAGTTTTATTTGATTTCATCTTCATACAGTACAGGGCTCATGAAGACTAGAGATCAATCAGGAGAAGGTGCTTTAATATTTCACCCTATATTGTCTCAGGGTATGGTCCTAATGTTTTGGGATTACACAGTATATACCCCTAGTATATCGAATATGCAAATGCATAGCGGGTCTGATCTGCTTCCGGAATGGCACACTGGTACACTTCAGTGTGTTCCTAGATTTGACGGGACTGGAGCAAACCGCTCCATTGACATCAGATGTTAATGCATTTATCATCATATTCCTAAAAAAGTTCTTGCAAGCTGCCGCAAGATGAACAGCGTTCAGTGTCTTTATTTAGATTTTCACATTACTGCACTATCTGACTCTAGCTAAATCAGCGGTTACTCCACACGTTTCTGTTTTATTCTGCTAGTCAAAGCTGTCCTTGCTTCAGTTGTTTGGCATCAGTTTCAGTGGGGCGTATTTGTTTTGAAAGTGCAGCGTCATGTGTGGATGTAACAGACCCTGAAATTCAGCACTCAGATGTTTGTTGCAAAATTTCACCCCCTGGCAGAGGGTGGAGTCTTCTTTCTATGTGTGGGTGCCGGTATTAGGCGGGCGGAGATTTTTCCTCTTGCTGTGGGCCAGAAGACCTTGATTTGTGCTCTTCTGACCAGGTTTTGGTCTCCTGAGCGATTCTCGTGCTACTCGAGAGCTTGACACGTTCTTGGATGCTGGGTCTTGTCTTAGCAACTTGCCCAACAGCAGTTCGCTTCCTCCTTTGCGTAGAGGTTGGCTGGTATAACAGTTCAGACATTTCTTCACATCCATGGAGTATCGGGGGCGGTGGCAGCAACTGGACTGTGGATGTAAGGCAGGAAGCATGTCCTGTGTGACTGAGGTCTGCTCCTCCTCAAACCACGTGATACCAACAGTTCCCCTTCTCTCCTCCCGGGCTCACCTGGTTGTTGTAGTCGAGAGGCGGCCCACTCTGCTCTCCAAATTGTTTTTTTACGGCTCCCGTAGCTCGTAGCCAAGGTGATAATTGCAAGCGCAGCGTGTCACCTTGGAGCCTTGGATCTGTTGGCTTGTCATGTGTCTCTGCTCTCTGCACAAGCTGCAGGACCGAGCCCCATTGCAGTCAAAGCTTGTCCTTTTGTTTTTGCTGCATGAGAACCAACAGCAACTCCAATTAGTCACTGCTGGGTCTGCCTAAGCAGAACACTGATTCTTCAAGGCACTTTTGGCCTGCATCAGGGATGATCAGAGTGATGGTTAGGGAGTGTTCAGTTCCCTATGTGCCCCACAGTAGCCTCCGGACTCGAAGACCGCAGTTAAGGTGAATCTGAATTTTATCCATCCAGGTTCAACAGTCTGTTATCTTCTCAGGTTTTCATTGGTCCAGAGCCCCTCGCCAGCAGCATATGGGGGTGAGACACGTACACAGTCACACATTATGTGCGACTTGCAGTCACTGCGTACTGGATGAACTGAATCTAAACACAAGTCTCTCTCTTCATTCCGTGAATTGCTCAGTCCTTCTGCTTCTTATCTGAAAATTACTTCTAGAAATGAATGACCCCCCCCTCCCATCACCACCACCTTTTGTTTAATTTTATGTGCAGAGCTGCTGAGGTCTCCAGTCTGTCTTGGGAATGTTCCCAAAGTAAGGTTTGCTTTTGTCTGGGGCAGTATAGACCCCTCTCTATCCCTGACCCTCATCCAAAAATTACAAGACCTCCCCTCCCCCCACGAACAGTGATATTTAATTGTGTATGGATTCCGTGTCATGATGGATTGCAATAACAGGCTTATAGAGGTCAGGGCTGTGGCCTTGGTTCCTTGGCTCTTCGGTTCCTTGGCTCTTCGGTTCCTTGGCTCTTCGGTTCCTTGGCTCTTCGGTTCCTTGGCTAAGCAGATGCGTTGCATTGCTGGATGCAGCAGCTGGCACTAGTGAGGGTTCGCTGTCACATGACGCTGTGTACCTCGGCTTAGCCCTGCGGGTCTTCATGTAAGGCTGTCGCGTCCAGTTAAAGTGCCGGGGAGGTGTTAAGGGGAGGAAGACTATGAGACAGAAAGGAAGAGTGAGTAAAATAGACAGCATGGGTTTCAGTGTTGAAAGAGGCAAGGCAACGCTGAGCTAAAAAACATTATCCGTGGATATATTGCTATGTTGGGATATTCGGTGCAACAAGACAAAGCTATGCGGAATGGAGCTGGTAGGGATTAGAGTGCTACATGTCAGGATCTGTGTGCCCTAATCCATCGTGCGGAGGCGGGCAGCTGCCAGCCTCTGAAATGCCTCGTCCGCCGTTCTTTCTCAAACGCTGGCCAACAATCCGCCGGCACAACCTGCGGTGCCACCGTTTGCCCCTTTGGCCGGCTGGCATTGCTTTGTGGTGTGCATCTATGAGGATTTAAAAACGTAGCCCCCCCGATATGTTTGGGGAGGGGGGCTGCCTAAGCTGAGCTGTCAGACCCCTTCACCGATGGTCACGGGCCCAGGTCGGATTCCCAGGTCTTCCAGACGGCTCCATCCTCCTCACTCTTTGCTGTTATGGAGATCTTATCTACCTCAGATGGTACCTGAACGTGATAAGTCAAGTTCTGACAACTCGTTCAGAGTTCTTAACTGATGGTGGAATATGGTGGTGGAAAAGCCTGACGCATCATTCCCCATTCCGGGGTCTTTCGGCGAGGGGTCAATCTCCCTCGCCTAGGCATCTAGAAGGACTGTATGGAAATTTCCCAACATGGCTGATGGCTATAACCTCTCCCAGTGTTATTGCTTTATAGTTCTGTAGATATAGATAAAGTGATTCCTGGGATTTCACTAAGAAGCCCTTTTGGGTGAGGCGAAAGCACACCACGGGTGGGTTTCTGGTTTCATTCACCGATCCTCAATGTCCTTTGATGTTCTCTGTTTATCAATTAACATTCCTTGAACATATGTTAAGGTAAATGATTGTTCATCATTGTCTTTGCTCATTGTGTTCTGGGGTGGAAGTCACGTGTTGAAAGGGGAACTCTGGGTCTCTGTTTATGATACGCCTGTTGTGTAATACCTTTCCTCACATATGGTATGTTCTGGTAAGTCACATGGGTGCCGGTGATTAAAGGGGAGACTGGATAATATCTACCATTTGTTTGAAATGCATGAGAACTTGCATCCGTGATTCCGGACAGGTTTTCGTTAGCTTGAGAAGTTCTGTCCTGGGGGGAGACTGGGGGGCCTCATCCTGTTCAATGTCGGGTACAGTCTGGTGCCGGCTTGCCGGCAAACTGTACCGAGTCGAGCCCGTGCACAGGGTTCAGCATTTTGAGCCTGCTGTCAGTGCTTGCCCACCTTCCGTCATGAGCCGATTCACTTTAGCCACAAAGTGCCTTGAGAAGGGTGGGTGTGTTCAGTGGAGCAGGGGGTGGAGAACAATAGCAATTCTCCTGACACCACCTGGCTCTGACACACGTACCAGTCCGATGTTTGCATAATTGATAAGGACACGCAGCTGCAGTCAATATTTTATGAGTTGAGACAATTGGCCATTATGCCGCCCAACGTGGGGAACCTTCAAGCAGCCCCTTATTGGTTGACGTCAGTCACCAGATGACCGTAACCCTGAGGATGTTTATCGTAGTGTTTGCACTTTGGTGTCGTGTTCATTTGCAGGAGAAGCATTAACTCATCCTGGATCAATGAACCCCTGTAGAATTTTATGTAGGACATCTTTACTAAGTCTACAGGTTCTTATTGAACCCCTGTTATTTACAGGATCTTCCCTTTATTGGTCTATCTTGTTACTGGGGATCACTTTACCCAGTGCTGTTTAGACCTTTTGGTTGCCTGTTTTGCTGGTAAGCTTTACTGACATTGAAACTAGTGCCTTTAAAAAGAAACTGCAAACAAGTGGCACTCAGAAGAATGGGTGTCAGACATGCAGCAGTCCTGACTGTCTTCCAGCTTCCCATCTGACGAATCTCCACCTCCGGTCGCCCCCCCCCCTCATGGTCACAGCCTATTTACAGAAAATGTAGGCCAAGGAGCATGATTCCTACCGCTGCTAAGCTGTGGTTTACCGGTATGGAGGTGTGGAAAGACTAGAAAGGAGACTCAGGAACTGGCCACACAAGTCGCTCAACATGATGAATGCTCTGTGCGCCTGACTCAGACTTCCGGGGTCCCAGGACTGACCAAGACCAAAGAGCAGTCCCTGTGAACGTACAGCCCCAGACAGGAAGCTCTTCTCTCTGACAGTCTTTTACAATGGGAATGTTGATGACATTAAGGTCACTGGTTGCCGTTCCAGAGCCGAGCTTAGGGTTAAGTCCCTTACCAGTTATAATTGTCGTAGACCCAGCTAACGGGGAACGTTCCCAGCAGTTTCGCCAGCATTTATGTAAAGAGCCTTCTCAAAGTTGCCAGAGAATGTTCCTACTGTAATGTTAATGGAACGTTAATCCCAAGTTTTGCATTTAACAAAGGTTCTGCCAGTGTTGGCAGTATAACATTATTACCTGAACATAATTCTAATATAATTATTGTTGAAAAACCATCCAGCCTTGAACCCATGACCATTTGAGGTGTACAGCAACAGCGTTACCTGCTCCACATCCTTTATTTTCTATTTATACATTATTATGTATTATATACATTTATACATTAGCGGGATAACGTTCTGGGAGCACCAAGAAAACTGGACACTTTGAATGGTTACATACCTTAATCGTAACGTTCCTACAATAATAAATTGTCACTTGGGGAGGTGCTACCTTAGCTTTGAAGGCTACCCTCTACTGTTCTAGGTACAGTATAGTAGGTCAGCTTATGTAGACATTTTGCAAAGCTCTTCAGTAATGGCTTTTTGCTCTGGTAGGTTGTATGAACGTGCAGTATCTGTTTGTTCATCCATCATTGTGTCTCTG